TGCCTGTGGGTAAGTTTTGTTTCTAGCCTGACTTCTTCTGAGGATAGAGCTTTCCAGATGTTCTTTTTTTTTCTTTTTTTCCAGATGTTCTGACTTGATACGATCCTTACATCCAACTCCTCAGCTTAGCTCCCTTCCTATGGGGCACTAAAAAACCCACCTCAGGGTTTCCTAGATTGGCAAAACTGGGCATGGGCATGGGGGCTCCATAGGAGCATTTCTGGTCTGGAACAATTTCCTTCAGTCTCAGCTATGCATCTAAAAAGATTGCTTTACACTTTGTTAGGTATGTCCAGGTATTCTGTAGTTTGAGAATTTTCTCATTATTTAGTCTTTCATATTGTCAGGAACATGATTATTTTCTATCTAATGTGGATGTTTACCCTCTCCTTAAGTATACCTTGTACCAAATGGTAGTGGAGAGTTAATACTCTCCTAAAACACCAAACTGAAAGGCAGTTTGGTGATGCATGTATCAAGAGGATGAAGGTGAGGGTGATCTGTTTGGTTTCAAAATTAAAACCAACAACGTCTTCAAAAGTCTGCCCATTTTAAAATCCTGGAAGAGATAAGATAATCTACATTGATCATATAGATCCAGTGGTAAAAGAAAATAAAAATACAATTATTGATAAAATAAATTTTGGACAACTGAAGAGATACAGCAGGAAGGGAGCTTGGTTACACTAACCATTTCCTGATTAAGATCAGTAAGACTTTTAATTAAAAGCACATCTTTAAAAAATCTTTACCCATTATTATGGTTTGCAACTTGCCTTTATTGCCTTAAATATTCCGAGATTATTTTATTATTGAAATACCAGTAGAATGCTGAGGAAGAAGTCAAAAAGTCACAAAAGGCTGTAAAGCAACCTCTTGCAAAGAACTTGCATGTCCATGAAAACATAGCCTGGAGCAATATCTATACCAAGATATTAAACTTCACTAGGCATCTCTACGCAATATAAAATGAATAGGAAAAAGGTTGACTCTTTTCAATGAATATTTTCCCTATGCTATCAGTTCAATAGAAAGCAAAATAGTAACAGCAAATAATAATTGTGGATAACAATGAATTTAGTAATGCATAGTGGACTAAACCTTTAAACGAATGTGGTAGCCATAATATTTCCAAAAGCACGCTTATATCTTTTCACTATGAGATCCTTACTAAGCTATGACTTCTACCAAAAACACAGACCATAACCAACATTGCTGACTGCCTTTTAAAAATGTGTTAATAATATTCTTCCTATTTTGTTCACTGCTTTTCTTCACCTTTACAGGTGACATTTTTCAAACTATAAAATGCATTCTGCTGGCAAACCTTCTTGCTTCAACAGTTCTCAATTTTATAATAGTAAATCTACATCCTTTGCTACTGAGACATCCACTATCTTTTGGTATGTGACTTTGAATGAGGCAGAGAACAAGCCATAGATTTAAAAATCAATATCTAACCTTATCAATATTCATTTTACTTTGTCGATACAAAATACAAAGGTGAAAGAGCAGTAAATAAGCTAAAGCACTGAAATAAATTTGGTGTTCCTGTCACAATTAATAAATGTTCAACCGATAACACTGCTGGCTAGACTATAGCTGTACAAAGTGAATGAAATTATGCTTCAATGCTATTGCTAAAACAGGGTGAGTAAAATTTTCAACACACTAGCAGGTAAAGATCAGATTTTGGGTTATTAATTGCATCGGTGACTTTTAAAAGTATTTATTACATGTATAATACATAACTGTTTATTCTTGGAGTCTACAATTGTTGCATAAACCCTGTTCAGGATTATAAAGTTAGAGTGCCAAATTATAGTCTTCTGACAATGCTTTGGTAAATATTTTCTAAAAGTGCTGTTTAACTGCACAATATTTCACATATAAATCAGAGGGGATGATTAAATAATATTCAAGCTGTCTGCCTTTTAACTCTTATCCCCCACTTCAGATGAGAGACTGTTATCTTTACCTGCATTTTTCCAGCTTAGATTGAATGTTAACTAGAGGCAACACAAAGTGTGAAAATGTATCTCAATTCAATGTGTTTTGGGGGGGAGGTCTGAAAGGGCCTATAAAATGGGAAGAATATTCATTTTGAAATAGTTCTACATGTTAACTCAACTCTGGAAGCTTACAAATATAATTGACTATTATGAGACCGAATATACTTCAGAATTTGAAAATTATAATTTTCAGAGACAAGATGATCGAGGATTCATAACCTCATTATCAAAGTGTATTTATGCAAAAGCATTTCTTACTTGAATTTGGATAATAATCTTCACCTTAGAGTTGATTCATTAGTATTAGAAGATATTCTTTTTAAAACTGAGGACTTTTAAATAACCTCATTCTCTTCCTCTTTGAGAGGAACAGTTATGCATGGATTTAAAAAATGCATTTGAAATGAGTAACATAATTCTCTTACTCCACTACTGTAATTACAAAAATGCATTAAATTTCTATGAATTTTATTCTTTAAGGAAAAAAAAATCTAGTAATATAATCAAAATCCTGAATCTTAAGAGAATCACAACAGTTTTGAAATATAATGTCTGAAATATGCTGGTATAGGCTTATGAATGTTTTAGGCTAAAGTTTAATGTTTAGACCCATACTCCGTATAAATGATTTCCTCTGATGCTACTGAGTTGTAACGTCAAAATCACCTTGTAGAAATAATTATATTATCCTCTCCTCAACCATTATGCATTTTCCTTCTCACTTCACATATGTTCAGAGTGTTAGAACCTGACCCTGATATTCTCTCTTCCTTATTGTTGGCACTAAGGTGCTTTAGTCACATCCCTAAGATTGTTCTTGTACTATTTCTGCCACTAATGTTTGAATCATTGAAACATAAGAGAATTCAGGGGACCATTCAACTGGAATGGGGATATTAAAGAATTCTACACCTGCCTTATGAAAGATTTGAATTGAGGAACTTATGACATGTATTCGATCTAAAAGTGGCTATCTGTCCCTGCGTAAAGAGATATATTAGAGGTATTCTCAGGAATGTTCTGTATCTCTACATAGCAATATTTAAGTAACTCTTCTATGAAACTTAAGACATAATAGCAAGTTCAAATAAACGTACACAACAGAACAGTCTTTACAAACACATTCTTACAAAAAGGTCATATGTTGTCATGAAAGAATAGGGATTTAGGGGTCATGTGGGTAGATGTAGGCCTGAAACCTCCCTTTGCCATTCAATAATTATGGCTTCTTAGGGAATGAAGAAAAATCTAACACTTCTCTGCATCTTAATGTTATGGTATAAAGTGATGCTCATACCACCTCGCTCACAAAATTGTTACAAAGATAAAGTGAAATAATAAAGTTCCTGTTACAGAGTAGGCACCCAATAAGTGGTAAATATTATTCTACATAAATACACATTCCATACACAGGTGTTCCTTATTTCCAAATTCTGAAAATTCAATACAGCTACAAGATGAAGATCAATATTATATTTACTCATAACTACATACATAATTTCCTAACATCACCCTTTATATAGGGTTCCAATTTTAAGTTATTCAATTTTTTAGGTCCCCTAAATGGAGAATTAAAGCTTCACATCTTTTATTTCTTTGAAAATCACCATGTCAAGATTTTTTTTTCCCCTTTCTCACAGTTTATTCTCCTGGTTGACATGAATCTTATTTTCATATTCTATAATTCACCATGGAAAAAATAACTTTTCCTATAAAAGGTTTCCCAAGTGGAGTTAAGAGAAAGTTTATAAATCTGAATTGGTAAGGATCCCAGGCAATAGGTCAAGGTTAGTATTTCTTGTAACTGACCAAGTATCTAAACTGGAAACATTTCAGCTGCACCACAAATCCATGATGGTTAATTGTACTTCATTTCTAGGTGGATATCTACCTTATAAGGCCCAGTTGGCTTCCTCCTTTCACTGGTTTTCATCTCTGCCTTTCCTTACCATTGCTCTTGCATGAGATTTTGTTATACATACTAAAATTATTCACATCCTTCACTTCCAAGTTTGAGACTTTGCCCTGGGAAGGCTTCCTGTCCCCTCTGGTCTAGTGACTTCTCTCTGCTCAGCACTTGTGGTTTCTTCTAATCCACACTCAGAATGGCCTGCTATTAGAACGATGTGATTTGTGAGGTGGAGATAATGAGACTTTTTATTCTAATGCAGATTTTCCTTTTTTTTTTTTTTTTTAATGGGCTCCACACCCAACATGGGGCTTGAACTCAGGACCCTCAGATCAAGAGTTGCAAGCTCTACTAACAGAGCCAGCCAGGCAACCCTGTTTAAATAAGGAAAGACAAATCTAGAATTGCTGCAGAGCTGGGACTAGAAACCAGACTGATGCATTCATGGCTAGCTTTGAATCTTCTATAATATGAGACCTTGAGTTTTGAGACTGCTCCTTATACTTTTGAATTTTTTACTATTAATCTCTTCTGGGGTTATTTTCCTTTTCATCTACTTATGCCTTGTTTTCCCAACCCGTCTATAAATTTCTGGAGGCCAAAGATACAGCCTTTGAAGTTCTGAACCCTTTAATACCTCACACAAAGTCTTGCATTTGGGCAGGTGTGTAGCAAGTATTTTATTGATTGGCTGCCTGAAAAATCTACACAAGGAACATGCAACACAACCTGTCACCAAATGCAAATGATTTAATAGTTGCTTGTATCTGTGCCTCTTCTTACATGCAAATGATTTAGAATTATCTATATTTTCTTCTTGAGGATTTATGAACTTTATTTATTTATTTATTTATTTTAAAGATTTTATTTATTCATTCATGAGAGACACAGAGACAGAGAGGCAGAGACACAGGCAGAGGGAGAAGCAGGCCCTGTGCAGGGAGCCCGACGTGGGACTCGATTCCGGGTCTCCAGGATCAGGCCCTGGGCTGAAGGCAGTGCTAAACCACTGAGCCACCCAGGCTGCCCGATTTATGAACTTTATATTTGTGATCTGCGCCAACCCATTTTTGCTTTACCTGTAGTAGTAGGTCCAGGCAAGGGTGCTGCTTTTCTTCTTCGTTTGATATCTCCTGTGCATAAGGATCCTAAATGCATGCTTGTTTGCCTACAAGTAATTATCAGAAAAAACTATTAACAAAGGAGGAAAAAAATGACACATAAATACACAGCTTGTATAATCTGAACCTAAATCAAAACATTCTCAACAAAGATGGAGCAGCATAGTAAAACCACCAATCTTGTTTATATCGAAACATAATTACGTTTGTTGACAAGCGTTCAGCAGCTAAATGCGCCATCATAAATTGTTACTGGAATGAATAATATAAAAGGAATGCTTTTTAATTTTCAAAACTGGCAATCTTTCTAGCTCAACATAAAATCAAGCACTGTTGCTTCTGACAGGAAAATAGCTAAGATTAATTATCTAAAGAGATCACAATATTGTTGCTAGGTTATCAATTGGTTACTAATGCTTTACTGTCAGAGCAACATTTATTACAGGAAAAGTATGATCAATTTCTTTTGGGATATTATGTGGCAGTGAATTCTTTTAAAACATTTTAAACAGATAGAAGGAAATAGTGATGTTCTTTCTTATAATTCATATGATTAGAATTCTTTAGTTAATTGTTTATTAGCTAGGTGAGGAGACATAATTTGAATATGTGAATGCTGTCTACTGCTACCAAATAGGCTAACCTGATATTGGATTATATTTGTAAAGACATAATATATAAGAAGAGAGAAGTAGACCTTCTGATAGTCTTGAAACTAGTTAGAATGGGATCCTTTTGCCTAATCATGGATCCTAAATTAAAAAGTTTTGGAGGAATTAGAGATGGCCTATTTGGAAATCAAGAAAAAATACAAAAACGGAAGGGATTTAAAAGTCTTCAAACATTTCAGGCTATAGAAGGACTCTGTTCATTTCCTGGATCATAATCCCAGATGGAGGGTTGGGATAGTGTCTGGGGATCATGAAGCAGAAATAAATGATGCATGTTTATTATAGCACATGTTCTTTTAGTAATTCATAGAGATATCTGGTAGTATCCTGAAGTTTTATATTTAACCTAGCAAGGCCTGTTGGATCAGGGTCCTCTCTCCATCCCATTGTTTCTGAATGGCCCAATAAACATTGGTTCACCAAACATTTTGACTTGTTTCATCTTATGAACTGTATTCCTCCATTTTAAGTCGCAGACTCCTATTCCCCTTCTCCTTCGTTCAGGATGACATAAACACCTCCTTTTGCCTCATTGTCTTTGGAATCTCCTGTTTGTGTGTACGTACAAAGTTTAATTTGATTACTCCCTGTTAATCTGTCCCATGTCAGTTTGATTCTTAGCCCAGCTAGAAGAATCTTGAAAGACAGAGAAATATTATTTTCTCTCCGACATACCCAGATTATTAGAGAAAAATTTTAAAGGAAAAAATTAATTCAGGTAAAAAACCAAGATATATATTTATACACATATTCTCAGGTGTTTAAATATAATGAAAAATTGGAACTGGGGGGAGTAAAATTACAAATAAGTTCAACCTATAAAGTACAAAGTACGATAATTATCTGGGTGATCCACAATCAAATAAATACATCATGAAAATTTATCAACATAGGTAATAGCAAATAGGCATTTGTGTCGTTCTCTTCCTTTTGTAGAGTGTATAATGTTTCCCTGTTGTTGAATACTTACACCTATTAAAATAATTTTAAAAATTAGTTAATTCAGGATGCCTGTGTGGCTCAGAGGTTGAGCATCTGCCTTCAGCTCAGGGCGTGATCCGGGATCCAGGATCGAACCCCACATCGGTCTCTCTGCAGGGAGGGAGCCTGCTTCTCCCTCTGCCTGTGTCTCTGCCTCTCTCTCTGTGTCTCTCATGAATGAATAAATAAATCTTAAAAAAAAAGAAGTTCATTCAGGTAGTGACTAACTGCAGAAACACACGCACACATACCATATGTCAGAATGTTAAGAGACATGCAAAACTAGCATTTTTATTGGCTTCTGAGGTGTGATCTTGGCTCCAAGGCCAAGAAAAATGAATGGTTGTGATCACATTTATTTTTTAAAACTCTTAGAAATTTAAAAAAACGACAGTAATATCAGAGAAGACACATCCTTTTTATACAAAATTAATGAATTCATTTATTCAGCAAGTACTTACTAGTATCTACTACTGATTTAGCATAAGAGTTCACTGAGGTGGTGACAATGTGGAGAGCAGGGAAGAAGAAATGGAAGACACGAAGGACATGGAATGTTCACTTCCTATTATTGGAGGAGTTTACGGGCTGAATGGGGAGATCAAGTCATGAGTACATGAAATAATTAGGGATAGTGGTGGCAGTGGCAGGCAACACCAACTTTATTAGCTGTTAGTAGAGACTACATTATTTAGGTCCTTATAACAATTCTAAACATGTTGTGTTGAATATTTTTTTTTCTTTCATAGGGAAATATTTTTGCATTAGTGGAAAACTATACTTTGAGAGCACACTCTTCTTGTCATCAGACTGATTCTATGGGAGCTAGTTTACAACTCTAAGTTATAGATATCTGAAAGCAATGGGAAATAATTCCTGTGTACAGAAATGCAAATGAATTCTCCTGAGGAAGGGCAATCCTCCCTCCTGTGGAAAAGTCTTGCATGCATTTGCGCATTCATGTCTACATTCCTTATTCCTTATAAATTTGTGTTTGACTTCTCTTTTGAACTCCTTTTATGTTGCTACAAATAACATCTGCCTGGTTCCCTCATTAACTCATGAGTTAAATATCTCAAACACATCCTCATTTTTTATTCGTGAAAGTCATGATTTTACTGTTTTGTACAAAATTATCCTTTACCATCTGTGAGCCCCCATGAAATCTCCCCCTAGCCTAAAGACTGCAGTAACACTGACCTTTGGCAGAGCACACACCAGACAGGCTCAGGCTCGGATATCAGGAATAGTGGAGGAGGAGGGAAAGGTAACATTCTAAAAATGGGAATAAGGTGGGAATCTGAATTCTGAGGCATAGCTCTTTTGTTATTGAGCTGTAAAAGTCAACCCATGGACTATCTACTTCTGATCCTCTTGTTAAAACATTATAAATATCCCTAATTTAAGCCATGATTGCTTAGGTTTTCTATACTTGTTACTGAAAGTATTTTTTAAAAGATTTTATTTTTAAGTAATCTCTACATCCAACGTGGGCATCAAACTCATGTTCGAGATCAAGAGTCACATGCTTTGACTGAGCTAATCAGGTGTCCTTGTTGCTGAAAGTATCTTCAACAATAAAGAGTTTTTGCTCTGGCCAGAGATTTAAGAGTAACTCAAAATGTCTGAGGAGCACTGTTTTGAGAAGAGACTATATAATTTGAAGGAAGAACAACACTGGGGCTGGATCATGGGCCATAAATGCCACATATGCCCATGAAGGTGTCTGGATTTTATATCTGACGTGGAGTCATTAAACAATATTTGGCAGGAAAGAAGGTTGGACAGATTAGAATCCTCGGATGCTGGTAGAGAGAGGGGGGCTGTTTTGGTGGAGAATAGCACGTAGCTGCTGCGCCATGGAACTTCTCTGTGCTAGTCTATCTGAGAGAGGAGGTGGGCAGGGGTGGGTAGGCAGCCCATGGAAAGTCCTGATTCTGGATTATTAAGCAAAAAAACAAACAAAACTATGTGAGGTTTTATTACTTCAGATATACTTGAAGCTCAAAATAAGGTAAAAAAATAGTAGCCAGGAGCATCCTTCTTAAGAAATATATTTCTAATATATATATATATATTTCTAGAAATAATTAGAAGACATACTTGAGGGTCTGACACATGGTAGGTACTCATTGTGACTATTAACACTGCCAGCTTCCACCTCCACTGTTCCTGCACTAATGGCCCGTAATCAGAGTCTTCTCGTTGCTTGAAAATCATTCTCCAAGTCAATATTGCTGTTAAAACTTTATCACTTTTTTTTACACTATTCAAACTTATTAGGAAAGGCCTCTTGGCAAACATGGTGAAACAAACCCCAGGAACAACTAACTCCCTCTTTTAAACATCTTTGCTCATCTACTGGACCGAAAATTCTCTTTTGGGTGTCTTTATGGAAGAAATGGAATATAACATTTTCATTCAACTCCCCTCCCCTGCCCCCAGTGGAGCTACATAAAGGAAAAGAGACAAACAAACATTCAAGGAGAATAAAGTTCAAGTTAATAAAGTCAGTACATTGAACCCCAAGACCTGAGCCATAAGAAAAACAGCTGGCTGTATTTCAGTAATTCTATCAGGAATTGACTATCTGCTGCAGCACATCCTGCGATCTGGATTATTGACCAGTAAGATTACCCCCTTCAGGCTGGTCCACCCCCCTGTTCCTTCAAATAGGTGCAATGAAGTTGCCACAAATAACACAAGTAAGGTCTACTCTGTTATTTGTTGTCACTCCTAATGTAAAACATGGCAGTTATTTTTTAATTTAAAATCAATGAGTGTCTCAAAGGCAGCCTTGTTGCTTCAGTCTCAATGAGTCCTTTGTTTTTGCAAAGCAGAGTACTTGCATTACTATTCAAGGTGATAGGTGGCTTTTTTTTTTTTTTTTTTTTGCAGTGATGTTTTCAAGAAGGATAATGCACTGTCCTATCAACAGTGTATTTGTTTCCATCAACAGTATTTGCTTGCAGGGGAGAGGAGGGGAGACGAATCAAGACCTGATCACTGTATAACTACTCACACCTTTACTACTGAAGGTAAACATATCTTTAAGTGGAGAGGATCGAGAAACAAAGCCGTTTGGTTCTGGATTAGTAAGAGTTGTCACTTAGTTATGATTTGAAACATGGCTTCCCATTACCAATTCTGAAGATTTTCCTATTCAGCATTAGAAAAGCTCAGAAATAAATCTTTTGCTGTTATTGTTGTTGTTTGTTTTGCTTTTGAAACAGACTTCACTTGGTTTTTATGCCCTCATCCTTTTCAACGGTGTGGTGGTAGGAAACTGGACATTTTATCTGGAGGAAAAAAACAGAAAAAAAAAAAAAAAAAAGCAAAAACAAAACAAAACAAAACATCCTAGCGAAAACCACCTTGCCTGAAAACTTGGTTTT